AGCAGTAATGTATGTTAAAACAGACGTAAACCAGAGACAAAAATAGTCACGTAGGCACGTTTTAGCTGCAGATGTTGTGAAGTAAAGCATGTGTCTAATAGTGTCCTGTCCTGCGGTGGCTGTAGCGTCCCCTGGCCGCTCCTCTCATGAGACAGATGCAGGAACCCAGTTTTGCTTGTCTCAGGTACCTGCTGCCCTGCCAGGAACACAGTCAGCTCTTCTTGTCCCCGCTGCAGGGCCACAACGCCGTCTTCTGGGATGGAAACAAAGACGACAGGTGCGTTTTTGAGAAAGCACCATGCTTGTCTTGCATGCTCACGTGGCATTCTTGTCAAATTGTGCTGGTATCATGTCGGTTTGTGGCTCTGTTCCAAAAACCTAATAAGCCAACTTGCTGTCTGTTGTCTACTGTCTTCTATGTCTTCTAAGGGAACTGAAATGTAATCTCATAGATGACTGATTTGGATTGCTCTACAGAAACTGATTTCAACTGATTTCAGTAGCGTTTGGTCTTAGCAGGTTGATGAACTAATGACTTAGTACTCTACACACAAATATTGGGTAAATAGTCAACTTTTAGTAACAAGGAGCATTCTTTATAGACACTTGAGTTTTAAGTATATTTATAGTTCATTTACATTTCTCTCACTTCATTCTAATGTTATTTTAGCGTTTTTATACATTATTATAGTATTTATTAATATGATTTAGCTTTTATTTTTAATTTTAGTTTTAGGGTTATTTTTGTATTTTATATTGATATAAAAATATTGCATAAATGTTCATTTTTAGTAATTTTTTAGTGCTTCAACCTAAAATAATTTTATTTCCGTTAGTTTTCAAGTTAACATTTAATATTTTGTAACTTTAATATTTTTTTTTATTTATTTGTATTTTATTTTAGCTTAATTTCAGTTAACGAAAACAACATTTAATGGCATATTTATTTACTAGTTTTATTAAAATTTTGAATTACCTTTTATTTTTATATTTTCGTTTTTCATTTCATTTTTTTTCTTTTTTTAGTTTTTGCTTTTTTGAATATTTCTATTTTGCTTTTTTTTATTTCAGGTTGTTTTAGTAATTTTAGTACTTCAACTTATTTTATTTCAGTTAATTTTCAAGGCAACATTTCTAATTTTTGTACGTAAAATTTTTTTTTAATTAATTTTTTCCCCATTTTAACTTAATTTGTTTAACGGCATATCTATGTACTAGTTTTATTACTATTTTGAATTCGCTTTTATTTTCAGTTTTCACTTTAATTTAAATATATTTTTTATTATTTTATTATTATTTTTATTTAGTTTTCAAGGCAACATTTACTTAAATTTTTTGTAACTAAAGCTATTTATTTATTTAGCTTAATTTCAGTGAACAAATTGTAATGGTTTTGGTTTTAGTTAACAATAACAGCACTACCGCATGTGACTGTGATCTAGAATTTGTTCTAAATGAAGGTTTTGGAACAGCATTTGTGTCATTAGTGTGCATGTGACTCCTTAAATTGCCGTCTACGTAGGCAGCTCACTAGGTTTTGGAACAGAGCCTGAGTCTTTTCAATAATGAGGCCGAAAGGCCAAAGAAAATGAAGTACCAGGTTTGCACTTTACAGAAATCACCCTGGTCTGCCGGTACAAGCCCCACACCAGCCCGTAATCACCCTTTCACTCCATTTCCCTTATTTTAAACGCTCTCCCATTTTTTCTATTTACCACCAATTTGCTCCCCTTCAGACCTCTGGCTCACTCATATAAACACCCTCATTAAAATCATTCAGGAATCTCATTTTTCCAGCTTCCCTTGACGCTCTCAAGCCTCCTTTAAAAAATATGACTCATTTTAATATTCATGAGCAGGTATATAAGAGCTCATTATTATGCACGATGCCCCACCAGGCTGATAGATGCCCCGTGATCTACAGCCAGGCTCATCTGATCATCGGCTGCTTTGTTTGCGGGCACTCGATCCTACAAGACTCTCCGACGAAGCGTTCGCTTTTATCTCACGGCACAGGTGTTTGCAATTACCAGCGATGCCCGTCACGTGCCAAACGGAGCAGACGTAGGGGAGAGCGGGGCACAAAGTAACACTTTTTGACTTTCTCAAATTGTGTAAATCCACATTGGGTTCAGAGTATAATTTTTTTTATCCACAGTAATTTCACACTTGTCTAGTACAAATATGTCGCTTTGTTTCATAATTACAGTGTATACGTTTTTCTTTATTTACCCTCAAAAATTGGAAGTGAAATGTGACAACATGCCCCGTAGGTGGGGTACATTGTAACATCTGAGGGGCACGTTGTAACATGACCATATGACAGCTTAAAATGTTATCTGATCGCATGAAATAAATATACAAGACAAACTAAAATATTTTGTCAATAAAATAAAATAATTATTTATTTCAAATAAAATAATGGCGTTTTTTAAGAATTAAAAATAATCTGATTTTGGAGTTTGACATTGAACACATTGCAACCATGCTTGGGACGGCCCACATAAACGAGCCAAATGCTTTACGTGTCTTGAAATAATAATTTCTTAACTTTAAACATTGACTGTCAGTCTTTATTCACCTGTTTCTCGTCGTTTATCATTAAAATGTATTAAAGTAAATAGTCTGAATTACATCGCTAATGTCATAGAATAGCACATTGTAACGCAGTGTTACAACGAGCCCCATCTGCGCAACTGGAGTTTAAAACCGGTTACTGTCTTCTGATAGTTAGCGAAGCATTAAAAAATAATCTAAACTGATAAATAACAGATTGGAGATTAAAATAATAGCAGATTTGTCTCATTTTAAATTAGTAATAAAAACTGAGATGAAAAATTTACTTAAGCCAGAAATATAATTTTACTATGGTAAAATAAATGTCCAGCGATATCTTCAAAAGACTTTTGAATTTTGGCGCACTTTTTTTCTCTATATAATGTTGATATAGTAACTAGTAAATGCTGTAAATTTGGTTATGCTAGCATGTGTGGAAATATTTAAACCACGTGTGTTACAACTTACCCCGCGTTACTTTGTGCCCCGTGCTCCCCTAGATGTGATGGAGGGTCTTTTAGTACATCATCGTGGCCAGAACAATGAAGGCTTTCTCTTGGGTTAATCATAATATTAGGTTGTGCCTCCTACCTAGTGCCCTGCTCTTAACATGGCCATGAGTGCGTACAAATAAAGCCAGTATGCTTTGAGACGGTTAAGCAACAGCTGGAAACACCTGGGAATATCAGGGAATTTTAAAATTGTGATTTCCAACTTAGGAGTTAGTAAAATTATCATATAATATATAATTCATTATGTACATTACAGTTCCAGAGTTTGGGGTCAGTAAAATTTTTTGAAAAAATGAATATACTTTTCAGTGATGCTTTAAATTGATCAAAAATAACAGTAAAGACATTTATGAATGAATGAATGAGGCATTTATATATTATATATTTATATATTTTTATATATATTTATATTTCAAAAATATGCTGTTCTTTTGAAGTTTCTATTCATCAAAAATCCTGAAAAATTTTGTCACGGTTTCCACAAAAATATTAAGTGAAGACTGGAGTAATGATGCTAAAAATTCATCTTTGCATCACAGAAATAAATGATATTTTAAAATGTATAAAATTAGAAAATGGTTATTTGAACTTCTACTTTACTGTATTTTTGACCAAATAAATGCAGCATCTATTTCTTTGTTTGTTTGTTAATAATTTTGTAAAAATTTAATCTAAATTTCAGTTAATGAAAACAAATGTTAATGACGTATTAGTCATTCATAGTACTAGTTTTATTAATATTTGGAATTAGATTTTATTTATTTATTTTAATTTTCGGTTTTCATTTGAATTTATTTATTTATTTATTTTTAGTTTTTGCTTTTGCTTTTTTAATATTTCTATTTTGCTTTTTTGTTGATTTTATTTCGGTTTTAGTCATTTTAGTACTTCAGTCTAAACCTTTTCAGTTAGTTTCCAAGGCAACATTTCTAATTTTTATTCGTGTAATTAATTCATTGATTTATTTATTAGTTTGTTTTGCTCTAAAGTAATTTATCTGGTAAAAATTGACTTTTTTTGAGCGTTTATGTAGGAAAATGATCCTTATCTTGTATTCAGAGATAACTGGAGCAGTCATGGAAATTGATTGATAAAAAGAGTAGAAACTCTGCTGGAAAACCCTGCTCGAACCAGCCTGAGCTGGTTTAAAATGGTTTTAGCTGGTTTAATTTGGCCTCATCTTTGTGAAGCAGCCTGATCAGCTAAAAAGTGCCAAAAAACACCCTAAAACTGCCTAAAGGACCAGACTGCGAGACCAAACTAAGCTGTTTTTCTGGACTGGTTTGAGTTGGTCTCAAAATTCCAAAAAAACAAGCGAAAATGGAATTCCAAAATTCCTTTAAAGCCAGTGAATGGGCTTTCTAACCAGTCCGGGAGACCACCAAACCAATTTAGGCTGGTTTAAGGTATTTTCTTTTCAGCAGAGAAGCAAACAAGACATCATAAAATTGGCACAAACTAGGCAGTAAAAGCTCCATGTGGGTTTTTATGATCTAATGACCCTCTTGATCATCGGATGGCCTACCAGCAATATCCTGTAAATGATATTTTAAGTACATTAGCATGAGGTCGGCCCGAATCGCTTTATCACCGCAACCTTTATTTGTCCAAGTTTGATGTTGCCAATTAGATTATTGCGGCTTCACAAGCAAAACGGAAAAAAACGGAAACACAATAAACAACTTACTAGGGTATTTGGATCCGAAGCGTCCGTAGTTGAATTACAGGGTGCGTTTGTGACGGGTTGAATCATTTGGGTGCCGTCACAGCACACCGTCAGATAAATGACTCCGCTGATCAAGTAATTAATCACTGTTCAGCAAATGAATTAGAAGAATATATAAACCTGCAAACCGGCCCACACTGCTGAGAGCCCTGCTCCTGCATAACAGCATAATGTATAATAAATGTTTAGATTAAAATAAATCATAAATCATAAATCATGCGCAGCTCTGAAATCATTTGGGTTTGTACAACACACTGTGTTCGTACAAAAGAACAAAAGAGCCAGGAGTAACAAGACTTGTGTTGTGTGCATTAGAGGCATCAAGCGTCATTATTACTGTTAGATAAATATCAGGACATTTAAAAAAAGTAATATTTCCAGGCCTTGGTAATATCTTTGAAAGTTGTTGTTTTGACTCTTTTGCAAGTAAACCACCCAGAACACCCTTGCCAGTGTTATATTTATGTACTACTTTTTTCATATTTTGAATGAGCTTTTAGGTTTATATTGCCAGTTTTCATTTTCATTTTAGTTAAACTTTTAGTAATTTTATTATTATGTGCTTACTATTGTTATGTGCTTTTCTGTTTTTTATTAGTTTATTATTAATATTTATATTTATTTATTTTAGTTTTTATTTTAAATATAAATAATGTTTATATTATATTTTATTTCAATTAACAAAAATGTTTTTAATTGTTTTATTTTAGTGACCAGTAATAGCCCTGAGAAAAGCACCACTCACAGTTTCTTCACAATATTTGTTTATTTAATTGTTTGTTTGTTTATTTTTCATTTATTTGTTACTATTTAGATTTATTTTTTATTTCAGTTCTATTTAGTTTTTGTTCAGTTTTAATTTTTATTCATATCTAGCTTAAGTTTGTCATTTTAGTGCTTCAGCTTTTTTCTGTTAGTTCCCAAAAACAACATTTGTCATTTTTGTTTAGTTTTTAGTCTGATATTTATATTTTGTATACTATTAATATGTGATTTATTTTAGTGCTTCAACTTAAACTTGTTTCATTTAGTTGGCAGCATTTCTAATTTGGTCTCATTCAAGTTTTAATCTAATATTTAGATTTTATTTCAGCTTTATTTCAGTTAACAAAAATGTTTTTAATAGTTTTAGTTTAGTTAACAGTAATGACCCTATTTAGGTTAGTTTTAGTTGTTTTATTTTATTTATTATTTTATTTTATTTAGATTATCCATCCATCCACCCATCCACCCATCCATCCATCCATCCATCCATCCACCCACCCATCCACCCAT